CGCCTCGTTAATATTTGAAGGGTTATCTTCGTCTTGGCGTATGGTATCTGTAATTCTAGTGGTTAGCTGAATACTGACATCATTTCTTTTGGTGAGGATGGAGGTAGTATGGGGTGTGGTACTTTGTCTCGCTCGAGTTTGCGTAACTTGATTGTTTCAAGCTCGTAGCGTTTTTTTTCTTTCAAATCCGTGTAAGGAGGTTGTTTCACGTGTCGAAAGTGGGTTGTTATATTGGATAACAGTGGTCATTGAGGTGTTACATTTTCTTACTTGTTTCTCACTATGACTGATTGTGATTTTGACCAGTTTAAGTGACGCCTTTAAAAGAACGGAATCCCCTTCCGATCGGTCGAATCAATTGAGGTTTGTGACAGCTTGCGGAAGAGAGAGTGACATGCCTTTAGGGGGACTCCTGCGTTCAGGTACACTTGCAGAGTTGTTTTGTGGAGTTCATGTCTAATTCGCTTGTCAGTTAATTTTCATAGTTTTAAGAAGGTGGTACTGTAGTTTGGTGGAAAGGAATTGGACTCACCAGAAACAAGTCAGTCTTCTTTTGGGTGAAGACCTTGCGAGACGGTCTTTCAAACGTTGTAGCGTTGTGTGGTGGGGGGTCATTAACGTCAAGGCCGGAGACTCTGCCACCGGTTGTGGAGTGTGGTGCTTTGTGACTCTGCACCGTGTCACAGAAACTTCCTGGACGGGAGAGTCGTCTTCTTGGAAGGGCGTCCTTGCGAGCGCTACCGCTCGATGAGGGCGGAGAGACGATTGTCGGGGGATTCATGGGTGGGGAGGCGGCGACGGGGATCTTTGATGACCATTCAGCTGCTGTGAGGTGTTTACCTTGTAGGAACAGGCCTTTCAAATTCTGGGCAACGAGTGCCACTCGGGAAAAGCTTGGATGAAGTCCGTCCGCAGCAAGAAATCAACGAGGCAGGGGCGCCGCAAACCCATGGTCGAGAAAGGCCACCTTGCCTGGCTCCCGGCAGTAGCCCTTGACCGTGTCGTTGAATTTTCGGGTCTCGTTGATAAACCAGTGTACGAAGCAGTCATTGGGCTGTCTCAGACGGCGGTTCGTGTACCGCAGCAGCACGAGGAATATGACAGAGCCAGGGAGCTCCGGACGAGCTTGCAAGGTGTCATTGACTAGACGGCGACACCGTCGAAGTGTCTCTTCGGAGCCTAACTTCTCCCACTCGCTTGTCCCGACGTGGAAGATGAGGGTCGTCATGGATCGTGGGATATTGGCCAGCTCCCTCTTGATATCGCAGGTTAAGGCCCCGCAGATGTTGATGAAAGCGAGGGTGGCTTCGTCATATGGATCGAAGTGGTGAAACAGGTGGCTTGTTTGGGAGTTTCCGATCACCGCAGAAGTTGGAAAGTTCTTGGGGTACTTCCGTGAGAGTTGCTCCACTGTGGGTGTGCGGGGGGCTGGTCTTGAAACAGCGGGTATGGTGGCATAAGAGACAAGAAGCCGAAGGCATATATATAATGAAGTGAAAAACTCCCTGTGAGAAACAACAAACAGCAGAAGTTTGATCAACAGTTTTGCCAAGAGACTCGGCTTCGTCAAGAGATGACTTACACGTGAGGACATATTGCTGCGGCGAAGAAGTTGAGAACTTGAAGAGAAAGACGTGACGACACAATAACCAAAAAAAGAATAAAACAATTGTAATAGCAAGGTAAGCATTGATACATAGCAAAAAAACATGACCTGAGCCCGCTCCTCCTGCTTGGCACCGAAATAGGAAGTGCGCTTGAATGCCAACACAATGGCTACAATAGGCTGTAAACGAACGACATCTTCTTGGCTGATGGCACCCAACGGGCCAATGCATCCCCGAGACAGTCGCCCCATCTTGCCTGGGGCACCACACGTGTCAAGGAAACCGAAAAAGCAAAACATTGCAAAAAAAACTATTTGCTCCCTCCTGTGACTGTCAAGAAAAAAAAGGACGAGAAGTAGGGGGGCTGCGGTACGTTCGTGAGATGTGTAATTAATGAAACGCGTACTAGGAAGCAGCACGGTTCCACAGAAGACAGCCTGCACAAGATAGGAGTCGTTATAGAATAATCACGTAGCCCAATTCCAGTCGAAAATACAGTACCACAACAAAAAGGTAGGGTAGGTTAATGCTCTAATTGATGCAAATGTTTCTAGCTTCTCATTTATTCCTTTTTCTATTGTGTTTAATCTGTATATGAGGTATTACTCCCGCTGTTCACACTCCCAATTTGACCTAAAGCCAGTTCTATTACAACTGTTTTTTTTTTTTTGTTTTTTTTTATGCATTTGTGTTGTCACATTTTTCTCTCCCAGTTCTCAACTTCTTTGTTGCAGCGATATGTCCTCACTTCTAAGTCATCTCCTGACGAAACGGAGTCTCTCGGCAAAACTTTTGAATAAACTTCTGCTGTTTGTTTTTTCTCTCCGCGAGTTTTTCACTTTGTTATTTATTTATTTATATATATATATATATAGAGAGAGAGAGAGAGGTAACGGGGAAAATGTATACAGATGCTTCCGAGAAATATATGGGTATGAAGGAAAGTGCACAGACGCAGCAGTTGAAGGATGGAAAAATATTTAAAAAAAGTGTATTTGATAATATGAGTGGGAAGAAAATAAAGCACAAGCACAAGCTCGGCCACTGATTCTAAGTAAGTATTCTTAATCTTAAATTTGGATTCACCAAACATGTATTACTTATGAACAACTCGCTGACGGAAGCTCTGTCAAATGGCCACAACATTTCAAGATCCGTCCTAAAGGTCATTCTTGACAAAAAATATTTTTATTCTTGGGTTAATATCAGTTAATACTGGTTACTGGTAAATAATTTACAATTACGGTTGTCATAAATTTCAAATAATGGTATTGTTACGGTTACTAAAAATATTTTGTTCTAAACAGTTTTTGGTTTTGGTTACAATTACGGTTTGAGTCCCTGCTTAAAACTGAAACCGATAGGAGGTGTTGCCATTATTGAGTATTGTGATATTGTCCCAGTGGCGTACTAGTGTCTTACCACATATACATATGAGTACTTTGCTGCGGTGAGTGACCCCTTTCCTCTACCATTTTTTTTGTTTGACCTAAATGAATGACAGAATGTCATTAGTATGATCTTTGTTAATTTTCATGTTTAGAAAATATGTGTCTGCTTCAAGTGAGTGTTACGAAGCATAAAGCAGAAGAATATTAAAAATATTTTTCTTTTAAGTGCATCTTCTGGGCAGAGTGTCGCAGGCCACCAGGACGATCTCGTAACTGCCATTATCTTTCCCGTGATGCGAAGTGTCTCAGGAGAGACGATCGTTTATAATATAAATATGAGAGAACAAAATGATAAAATAACTTTTTACCGTTTTCTGATTCAAAGAGTTCTTTGTACAAATATTAGCAAATGGCTCATAAGGTACCATCAAGATGCTTTTATATTTTTTTTCATTCACGCTTGTCTTTATGATGTAAAATTTATGCGCTAATCGAAAATATCCATAACATACACTGTAGGATGTTTCCAGCATTCCATTTGCAGCCATAACAGCGTAGCAGCTATTTTTTGCTTTTGTTCAATGTCCATGTTCTACTTGATGAGTAGGGTGCTTCAAAATGTGGAAAGTTGGTACTTGTGAAAAGCACACCATAGTACTTGAGCTGGCTCGGGGCTCGGCCGAGTACCTTGCCATCGAGAAGTTAGAAGGCAAAAACACGTCCCCGCAAAAGCGCTCCGCACGCGAGCCGTGACGCGCATGCGCGGGCCTCGAAAGTATGTCAGTGCGCTCTGGTCTACGCTGAACCGCGCCGCACTAGAAACACCACCAAGTGAGCGACTTCTCATCAACGCGCGCCGTGACGTCGTTGACAACGAACGTCAGTTTGCGTCAGTGCGCATTGTGTTTGTCGACATTGGAGCATAAACAGCCTTTTAAAGCATTTTCTTAAGTCGTCTGACCATTAACATGAAAATGAATGAGGCAGCACCAAATTTTTAACCAATCTACAGGGTGTATCAAAAAGTGCCAGGCTCTTTAGATCGACCGCAAAATTCGGTTTCTTAACCTATCACGCTACGACTTTGTGCAGCGTTGCCCACAGATGGTGCACTTCTTTTGTAAAATTTGCGAAGAGCGAACTTACCTGAGGAAAAAGTAAAGAAAGGAAAAGGCTTAGCTCCTATGGAAATGCGGCAAAGCCACCAGTCTTCAAACAATACGGCGCCGCTTCACACGGGAGACGAGAGGGCGCAAGCGATCGCGATGCCAACTGCGCCAACGAACGAGCATACGGCGCCGAGAGCCGGTGTCTTTAACAGACGCCTTTTCAACTCAAAAGCGGCACGAGCTTTTCTGATATCAGTTACCAATGCATTATTTTATCATCCTTACTGACAAAACATATTGAATGGACACATAATCAATTAGAAAAATGGTTCGTCGGGATATTTTAACTGTTTTTTTCGGGGTACCGATGTCGTCTGCTTTGCAGTTCCTTGTTGTTACCGCACCTGTTTTTGTTTCTGCGACTGTCGCCGTCTGCAGAACGCGCTCCGCTTTTGAGTCGAAAACATTGTCCGCTAGAGACGCCGGCTCTCGGCACCGTATGCTCGTTCGTTGGCATCGCGACCGCTTGTGCCATCTCTTGTCCCCGTGCACAACGGCGTCGTATTGTTTGAAAACCTTTGGCTTCGCCGCATTTCCATAGGAGCTAAGCCTTTTGCTTTCTTTACTTTTTCCTCACGTAAGCTCGCTCGTTGCAAATGTTAAAAAAAACATGAACCATCTGTGGGCAACGCTGCACAAAGTCGTAGCACGATAGGTTAAAAAACCGAATTTTGCGCTCGATTTAAAAAGCCTAGCCACTCCTTGATACACCCAGTAGTACTAAGCTGGAATCACCATTCAGTCGCTTGTAAACTAGCACTATTTTGTACTGGCTATTTCTTAGAGCCTGTTATTTGTTTCTCTAACTTCCGCGTGCGAAAGATCGGGCTTACCTTTTCCAAGTGTTGATGCGCAGCACAGGCCAGCTCGTATATCACTTCCCTTGTGTCCGCTTTCCCCCTGGCGAGCGATTCTTGAGAAACTTTGTGCTGAAAAGGAAAGGTTACCTGGTTAAAAGACGACTTAGCCCATGACCAAAAGACTTCGGCAGAAGTATGCAATATTGATTCGTCTTGTGTTCCAAGTGGCAGGGCTCAAGATAATCTCACTCACAAATTGCTGGACTTTAGACAAGCAAACAAAAAGTCAGTGGCGAGCTAGTTTCTCTTTTATTTTTGTGGTAGTTTTGAATAGACTACTTCCATAAAGCCCTGCATGCAACACGGCGCGCGTTGCACTCTGGGAACTAGTTGGCCAGGGAGGAAGGTGGCACGGTTTCGGTTTCGATCGACACGTCGACAAGAGATTGTTTTCTGGTGCCGAGAGCGTCATTTGCGGTCTCTAAACTAACCTAAATGGCCAGACCTCGAAGCTTTAGCACAAGCCTGAGACGTATAGCTTGTCTTAACACATGCTTGTTGTATTTTTGTACTTGAGCCTTCCTGTTAGCGTTCCAACCGAGGTATGTGGACGAGCCAGAGCTGGGAATCTTGACGCTGCGAATTCGGGGATCTTGCTTGTGTACGAATCAACAAGCTGTAGCAACCAATAAGTATGCATACATCGAGCTCGCGCCTTTACATTAGTGTTGTTGATCAGGAAGTTTGTTTGTTTCGTGCGTCTATAGACAAAATATTACTTTTTACAATTACTGTTTTTCTTAATATGCCTGAGTATGCGAGGTAAAACTCGGAGGCGCCATTGAAAAGCTCAAATTCAACACACTTCTTATCTCTTATCTGTACTGACCCGCAGCACTGCACGAAGTGAAGTCCCCTCCCGCTTGCATTTCACTAATATTCAACATCGCGTATTCGCATAAAGTTGTCCTGCAATCATATAGGCGAATTCGCACATACAGACCGTTTTAAGAAAGCAAAAGTCGAGCACTTGTGTGAAGAATGTCGCACCGTTCGCCGGACGGGCATGAACCCCTATATGCGCACCGCATAGGGGTTCATGCCCGTCCGGCGTATACGGTGCGACGTTCTTTACACAAGTGCTCCAACGAATTCAAAGCGCGTTTGACGGTTGCTAATGGCCATAATATTTGTTATGTGTTTGTTTTCTTCCTGCCTGAGTATGCCGAGATAATTTCAGACACACCGTTCAGGCACAGATCTTGGGCGTCAGTAAAAACTCGTCCAAAAAGGCTTAGCGAGGAGCAGGGGACGCTTGTTAGGGCCTCCGTCGTAGCTAGCCGGTCTCAGCGTTTGCGAAAAGTTAATCTTCTATCAGCATAAAATTTGAGTTGGAGATATATGATGACACGAGGAAGACATCATTGTAACTTTTGTGCAGTAGTGAGGTCGAATCAAGTTGCGTTTCTTTAACAGTTTGTGCGTAAACGCTGGGCTCACCTTTGATACCCTGTGAGGATGCGGCTTGCTTTTCACCCAATGAAGTAACAAGAAACGGAATTTTGGCGAACAAAATACGTGTAAGGCTCCAGATGAACAAATTTCAGTTCTAGCTCACTGGTACTAAACGGGATTATTAAAATTGAGCTCAAACATGCCCTCGTGGGGTGAGGTGACTAAGCCACGGCTTTCTGCGTTCGCATACGCACGCACAATATCCGGTGTTTCGGGAACCAAGGAAAGTGCCCCGGTCTTCAGTGTGTATCACTCGAGAATGAGTGTATTGTACGTTTGTCAAAAGTCAGATAATCGAAAACGCAAGCAGCATGTTTGGTCGCGGCGTGAAAGCATGAAATGAAGCTGCTCAGTCGAAACCGAAACTGAGTGGCCAACTAGTTCCCAGAGTGCACCGCGTGGTATTTCGCCGCGATGGGGCGCGTCGGTTTTGGAAGAAGTCCATTCTTAGTTTCTCAAATGTTGAGCCTTGACTCAGAAGCATCTTTATTTACAGCGTAAAAAAAAGACGCTCGAATACAATGAAAATTATGCTGATGAACCCGGACATCTTGGGCTCGACCCACACCCCTGGCCGTTTCGATCAGGATGAGCATAGTAACGACGTTCGGTCGTGTATCGCTTCTGTGCGATGCACATTAAAAGCCCCAGGCTAGCAGGTGCACTGCACCGACTAAACTTCTCATCAAGAGCATAAATTGGCATCGTCGTACCTCGAAGACAGACCGACCTTGCATTGTCTAAATATGAACGTCAAGTTTGGCTCGGTGTTAAAAATTAAATGTTCATGAGCGACCCAGGCCCACACAACCTTCCACTTTCATTTGCCTTGTCCCAAGCCACTTCCGATTCTCTCCCTCTTTCCTGAAAATCTGCAAACCTTCCGAGAAAGAGGGCGCGCAATAATGTCGGGCACTCGAACGCCACTCACCTTGGCCAAAAGTTGGAGGGGGACGTAGACGCGACCCCTCGAAGCATTGACGGGCACTCCTCGAATGAGGTTGGTCAACCCTTGCAGCTTGCCCACGTGGCTAGCAACGTGGTCGCAGTTCAGGTCCTGCACTCCTGGAACACGCAGAGGCAGTGTTCCAACATTTACCCCATCTCACTCCACCAGAGTAAAGGTTTTGTATTTTGGCGTTCGAAAACCTACTCGCATTCGTTGTTGCCCTATCAAAAGCATGAGACAAGACACTGGCGCCACGGTGTGGCTCGTAGCAGAAGCATCTTGCATCGACCACAACCGGATTGGCGAAGGCACTCTACGAAGCGGTCAACCTTAGTTTCTAGTGATACTACGTATACAATAGCTTCAGGGCCACAGGACTCAAAAATTGAGAACACAGGTCTCCTCCGTACATCACGAAAACTGCCACAATCATTTTCATCCCAGCACGGCTATTCAATCTGCCAGAGAGGAAAGAGCTATCCGATAGTAAGGAGAGCAGAAAATACTTTCCCTATAGATTTCATAAATAGCCAGCACAGGCGAGTGTTGTCCCGTAGTGATTTCCAGACCGTTGAAAGCACAAGCGTTTTGTGATGGCAAGTTTCGTCGCAGACAAACGAAAGACACGGCGGCACGTTGCTTTTGTTACCGCTTAAACTGCGGAGGACACGATCGAACCCGAGCTCCGAGCAACTCCTGCGGGTCGATTGTCACGAAAGCCAGAGCAGAGAACTCCGGACGCGGGTTGGTTTTTTGACTGTCAAGGTGGCAAGCCTTTACTCCGGGGCGAGATTGAGAAACACAACTGCCGGAAGGCGCGGAGGAGATTAAGACGCCACGGCGCATTAGAAGGGGTCGGAGCGGGCAGCAATTCGTTATGCGACGAAACGCGGGCAATGTGTTCGGTAACGCAGCCAACCAGCTACCAAGACGGAGTGGCACGCCCTCTTTAGGTGCCGCACGCTCCCAATGCAGAGCACAAGTTTGTCTGCTTCTTGCATACGGGTTGCAATAAAGCCAGAACGCCGACCACTTATTGGTCATTGTGGGTAGACTTCAAAGCATCTAGCATTTAGGTCTACCCACTATCCTTTTAGTCGAAGCCAATCGGAGCTTAGCGCCGTTCTGACGTCACCGCAACTCCTGCGCAAGAAGCAGACAGCTTGCTCTAAGCAGAGCGAGGGTTCTCAAACTTATCTCGAGAAACCCCTACCTGCTTTGAATGGCAGCCAAGGAATCCCCGATCTCGGCATTAATCCAATAAAGGAGTGAGTGATTCCACGGGAGATGGAACCAGCAGGTCCACTCTACATTTTTTTTTTCTGGTTTTTGTATATGTGATGTGCACTCAAATAAATCGCACGAAACGAAACTTTTTGTCTCAAAAACCGCGTTTTCACTACGATAAAATTTTTTTTTAAAGATTGCACGATGACTTTGCTCGCACCACAGACTGCATTAGGTGCCAACTTTGCGGTCCTGTGGAAGGCAGGCTAAGAATGGTACGCCAAAAATGTTTCCTGTATCATGTAACACACCAAAGTTTAAGTCAACTGCATGCAAATATTGTGTGTTTATGAATTAAAAAAATATATAAAAAATTCTTAACTTTAGAACAGGAGCAACAAACACACTAACTTTCAGGCCTTCTACCTCAATCTGTAATCATTAACGAGTTCAAAAAGCTACACACAATATAGGCCAGGGCATCTAAATTATTCGTCAAAAATATGAGCTTCCCAATAAAAATATAAACATAACAAAAAATTATTTTGAAACAACACATTTAAAAAAAAAATATTTATATTGACAAAACAAAATTTTAAAAAATCCGGTCTCGATTTCATTAAAACTTTGGGGTACAACTCTCCTTAGGCCAGGCAAAAACAAGTGCAAAAACATGTTGCATCATTTGCTTGGTACAAAAATTGTAACCAATCAAAGTGGCGGTTGCAAAGCGTCTTGACTCCGGCGTTTTTCGTTTCTCCCCGCTGCTATCTTTCTTTATTTCTTTTTTTTTTTTTAATTCAACTTTTTTTTTTGTTACAAATAAAAAAACTTATGTGTTGTAGCTTACTGTCAGGGAAGATATCTTTCCAGATTTTCTTTTGCGTGTGGCTGTCTACAGGCACTCATAAAAATTTACGCTCAAGCATGCAAGGTTATGGTGGAGAACCAGCATATTACACTTCTGTGTTCGCATCAGTTTTGTAGCTGCCCCGGGCACCTGTGAAGAACATACAAACATGAAACGATGATTCCTGTTTCGGCGCGCGCCGTAAGCGAAATACGAGCTCCTACTCGGTGAACCACTGCAGTGTGTGTTTGGAAAAAAGGTCGGGGGGAGAGGAGGTTGGGAAAGGCAGAACTTCTTGAACTTGATCGCGCTTGGACTTCGCATGTCTCGTTTATGAGAAGTGTAGATAATAAAAGAACGACGCTTCGGGTACAAGGGTACGAGACGCTTATGTTACGGCGGAGCCAAGGAGGAGGTTTACGCTTGCCGCGCGGTATATGTGGTTCGCGGTCGCTCTCGCTGTCAGGAGCTGGCAAGATATTTGAGGTCGTGTTTACCGCTGGGCAAACATACACATCCTCCTTGGCTCCGCCATAACATAAGCACACCATACTCCTGTACCTGAGGCCCCGCCCCTTTATTCTCTACAGTTTTAATAAACAAGACTCGAGCAGTCTTCAGCCTGACTCCGGCACGAACGTTGATGAGCTTCCTTCTTTGCGTCTAAAAACGTAACAGCTACCTAAAGATGACGGCTCGTCAATGCTTTCCCTTGAAGGAAACTTTGAGCGCATCAAGGTGGATTACTGTGACAGTTCATCTAGACTCTTTTAGAATGCGCGGTGACAGAATTGATGTCACCGCGGCAGTGATATCATCTGGACAGCTGTGTGTTTGTGTGTGTGTGCCCAGGAAAGGCACAGAGGCGGAGCTTCACTTCCCATGAACTTTGACTGTGCCAGGTTCATAGCCACCAGCGCTGGTCGTCAGCGGGGGAACTCCTCGGTCGCAACAGCATTGCGAAACCTTCGGGTTTCAGTCAGCTTGGCTGCGCAGACGAAGCAACGGGAGAAGCGACAGACGTCGCCGTTGTGCACGCAATGTACGCAGCTCATAGCTCACTCAGAGTTTTTTCGCGTCGATTACCTCAGCGTTCACAAATACAAGATACAATCCAAGAGAAATTTTTGCAGTGTCAGGCTCCTAGATGTTGAATCACTGCAGAAGCTGCTACCAAGATGCAGTAATTTGCAAGATACAGACCAGGTCTGCCAGCACTGCTTTCGGCTCCTGAAGGCGCTCCTATTTGCCGGCACACCTGAAGAAACAAATGAGACACTTCCTCGGGAAGAAGAGCTAATATCCTCATCTGCCGGCACACCTGAAGAAACCGACGAGAAATTTCTTCAGGAAGAAGCAGCAGTCAGTGACCTCCCCAGGTACGTCAAACTTTCCAAAGTTTCTCCGTTGAAGCCAGCATCTTCCATTTGGAAATGGCTCAGAAAATGTTATGGAGACAGAAAACAGGCAGAGATTGAAAAGGAAGTGTTGACAAAAATATGCTCAAGTTTAAGTAACACCTATGGAAGCAGCAGTACCCCTGGAAAGACAGAGGAGGAATGTGGCATATGCACTGGTTGGCTAAGGAATTTTAAACAAGCTTATGAGGCTTCAACATCCTACCAAGAGCGTCTTTGTCTCTTAACCTTACTTCCACCTGAACCGCCTAGGAAACTACTTCAGGAGGTAGTTCTAGCTGTCACAAAATACATGCAAGGGAAGTCTCAAAATTGGCGCGAGAAAAATGGGGTGTGGCCAGTTTTGGATTCCTACACGAGGTCAAGATCGAGCCCGTCAGATATGCAGGTTGCACTGGACTACTTCACAAAAGATGAACTGGAATGCTCGCGGCAGAGCCCGAACAAAAAAGACGTGTCTGTTATCATTGACGGCAAAAGAGAGTATGTCTCAAAGAGATTTATGACACGTTCAGTACAGGAAACATTTTGAATATTCCACGAAGCTCACCCTTGCAGTTCAATTGGTCTGTTAAAGTTGTACACCTCGCACCCAAAATGGGTACTGCACGCCCCCTCTGCAAGAAGTCTGCGTCTGCACCTATTGCGCCAATGCCAACATGTGTGTTTCCGCGCTCGAAAACACAACAGATAGCGAGAAACCAATAGAAAGCTTGAAAGCGCTTTGCCTTTGCAGCTCGCCGCCCACAAAATGTTCCTTGTGTCAGTGTGAGCGCTGCCCAATGGGTGACAGCCTTACCGGGGATAGTTTGGGAGTGACTGACGAAGATGAGCTCACATTTTCTTTGTGGGAACGCGGCAACTTAATCAAAAAGACAGTCTCCCCAACCAGCTTTGTAAAAGAGCTCGGCAAATGGGTGACCAAATGGATTTTTCACGATTATGTATGTCGCACTCAAGCCGCGGCTATCCATGAGTCGAAGGAATGTGAACAGAGAACAAGCATTGCTCTGCATTTTGATTTTGCAGAAATTTGGACAGTTCTCCTCCCGAATGAAACACAGTCCTACCATTGGCACAAAAAGCAAGTTTCTATCTGTACCTTCGTCGTCACGACAAGAAAGTCAACTAAGAGCTCTGTCGTTATTAGCGATGACTTGCATCACGATTCAGCGCATGCCTTATATGCCATAGGAAAGGTGCACGAGCTCTTGGAGGAAACATCGCCCGTCTACACGCATGCAACCTACGTTTGCGATGGTGCTGCGAGCCCTTTTAAGAACAGGTCTCAGTTGTATGAGCTGTGCCGTGCCAACTGCAGAGAACAGCCAATGGCTGTTCTCTGCCACAGGGCATGGGAAGAACCAGGCACGTAGCCAGGGGGGGGCAAATGGGGCCCGAACCCCCCCCCCCTCCCCCCCCCCCTCTTTCCCTCCCTCCCTCTCTGTCTTCCTCCCCCCCCCCCCCCCCCCAAAATCTTTCATTTTGCTGGCACCTCCTTTCCCCCCCTCCCCTTCATACAGCATTTTGTCATCGGCGGGCCCCCACCGAAACAGAATCCTGGCTACGTGCCAGGGAAGAACGCTTGTGACGGTTGTGGGTGGGGTCATCAAGCCTCACG